ATGGATTTATTGCATTTTGGGGAAAAAATAACATTTTATAATAAATCTTGGATTTAAAATCTAAAATCTTGGATCTAAAATCTGGATTTGAATTTTTAATGTTATTATAACCTAAAGATGCAATGTGAAAGATAGTTTGAAGCAGAAAATAGTGGTTTTCATCTTGCCACTTTCTTGGTAAAGAAAACACATTTTTACTCAAATTAATCAAAATGGATTTATAGCGTTTTGGAACCAAACTCTTCATATATGCTTACCAAACCCAAATTTCCAAAATTTACATTTTCATGAAATGACCAATTTAAAATAGTTCTGGTAGCACAGTTACATGTTGACTTGTAGAAGAAGTGAATTCTTAGGCTAACTGTCCTTGAAAAAGTATTATTAATATGCTAGTTATAACAAAACAGTAACTTCACAACAGTTCATACAGTAAAATAACTGCACAGTAGTTGTAATAGAGCTGTGATTGTGTTTGGAGATGCTTACCAGCAGAAAAGCAGAGGAGGTGACAGAAGGGAGGCCTATCCAGGCACTCGCCAAGGTCGCAATCCTACAGAAATACTAACAGTCTGAAAAGAGAGAAGAGAAAGAGTTTTCATTAAAACAGCTAAAAATAAGCAAATTTAAAAGAAACAGAGCTGTGATATCATTGACTGCATGAGCTTTTAAACAGCATTTCCCTATTTCAATTCCTCCACACATATATCTTTTAAAGTTTTTTTCCCCATAATTTCGCAAATCAAAGTCCAGAAATAAGCTTTAACACACTAAAGCCTTCAGGCTAATGGATTCTCACAACCTAATCACTCAGTGCATGTTAAGTTCCTGAATTCAAACTTGCTTCAGACTTCCTTCAGTTTTATGTGGGCCTGTTATACCACACTGCATACTAACCTGAATCGTTCGTCCATTATCACAGAAACAAACAGTGTGTTGCCTTGAGTAAAAGTAATCAAAACAACTACTGTGCCTAGCTTTGGTCTAATGGACGCACTACATCAATCCATCATAAAACCATAACAGGCTCGAGCCTGCAGATGTGTGGTTTGAGCAGGGCAGGGGATGTGCTAGATTTGTGGTAATCATGTTCTTAATATTCAAGGCGACTTTTGCCCCTTCTTCATGTAATGACTGTAGGCTGTAAAACTGCCCCGGTGGTAAAGTGCTGGGAGGTGCTCTGGCCATTTCCTCTTGTGCAACACTTCCTCCCATTCACAGCAGACTTCAGCTTTCCATTGTGCTTGCTGGCTTCACCCTCACCTCATGTCAGTGTAAACCAGGGGCGATTCTAGGATTTTCATTTTAGGGGGGCTCAGCCCCCAATGAGGGTATAA